TGGACAAGGCATTTGACTTCGCCTGGAAAGAAGCTTTGTTTGCGCTGTTTCATTGTTTCCATTAAAGATTTTAGATCGTGCTCCACATAATCCATGACAATGAATATCTTATCCATATTGGAGCCAACGACAATCTCACGCACAGTCACAATATTGGGATGCTGACCCTTCAGCAGCGTATTAATCTCACGCAGCGATGTTATAGGAAAGCCTTCTTTTTCCTTTTCCATTTTGAGACGCTTCAAGGCAACAATCTCGTTGGTGCGTTTGTCCTTGGCACGATAAACGACACCGTAGGTGCCCTCCTCAATGCGATTGAGGCATTGAAACTCTTCAACCGAACGACAGCCCTGCACACCCGGATAGTAGTTGGGCAGCGGTACGCCTTTGTCATCGCAGGGCGGCAAGTCCTCAACAGGTGCCTTGGACGGTTTTTCCGTGACGCTTGTCTCAAAATTGTCAAGCAGCTGCTGCTGCTGCTGCTGTTGTGCCATGCCGCGCTCCTCGCTGCGCGTGCTGCTGCTGCGCGAGCGTTCCCTCTCGCCCAGGCTGCTGGCTGGCGAGCGCGAACGACTGCGACTGTTGCGGCTTCGGCTGCTGTGTCGACTATTGCTATTGCTGCTGGCTGCGCTGCTATGACTGTGCTCCGAGCTCTTGGAGCTGGCGGATCGTGAGCGCGGCCTTTGCTTGGGTGATTTGTATAGAGCGCCCACACTCAGTGGACTATCTGGCAGTGGAACATCTTCCTCATCATCTGGCTGCTTTCGTTTTCGCTTGTTCTTCTTGTGCGGCTCCTGTGCGTAGCTACTGTCTGCGCTGTCTGCCGTATCGCTGTCACTTTCCGCACTGCCGCTGTCCTCCTCGTCGTCGTCCTCCTCCTCCTCCTCGGAGTCGGATTCTTCGCTCTCTTCGCTGCCATCATCATTTTGCTTCATCTGTCGCTTGTTCTCCTCAGTTGTCTGCTTGATACGCTTTCTTCGCTCGTAATGAACGTCCTCCGTTTTCACTTTTAGCTTGCGCTTGACTATATGAAGGCCGGCCGTTACACTGGCCGCCACGGCGCTGGGACTGAGCGCATCACTGTGCTCGTTCCGTTCGCGCAGCAGTTGTTCGCGACGCGCCTCCAGCTCTTCGCGTGCAATTTGCTTACGCTGGCGATTCTCACGCTCGGCTGCCAGAATCTTCTCGCGTCGCGCCAGCAGCTCCGGATCACTGTTTGCTGTGCGGCGTTGTTGTGCCGGATTTAAGGCTTCTTCGGCTTCGGCACGTTTTTGTTGTTTGCTGCGATGATGCTGAGTCGCCGCCGCTGTCTCGGGACTGTCCAGCAGCTCAATGACCTGGCCATGACGTAGTTTGTGACTGTGGCTGCCGCGTCGTGACTCGCGATCCTTGCGGCGACTATGTGACTGTTGGAGCTGCTCATAGTTCTCTTCCGACTCATAGTCCTTAACATATTTGTGCCGCTTGCTGAGCAGCCGCGAACGCAGATCCTGCTCCAGGCTCTCAGCATCCTTCGGCTGTTCGTAGGCATGTTTGACAGCACGTCGTGGCGGCGGCGGCGGCGGCAGTGGCTGATCCACATCCACATAATCAACATGCCGACTGCTATGATAGTAATCGGTACGTCCTCCCCCACGGGATAAGCTCATTAATTGCTGATGATGGTGGTGATGATGAACATAACTCTGTGGAGGCGGCGGTAATGGCAGCTGTTGCGGGTAATGGTAGGCATGGCTTAAATGATGCTTGGCTCGCTCACTGCGATGCTGTTGATGGTGCTGATGATAGCGCTGCTCCATATCCTCTCGTGCTCCCCGATACTCATATCGATCTCTTTCGCGTTCACGATCTCGCTCTCTCTCTCGTTCGACGCCCTCTAAGCTGTTGCGCTCCTTGTGTCGACGATCGCGCGAGTGTTTCTTCTTCTCCCGACGCGTACTGGCCGGATCTCGGCCCTGACTGCTGGCTGCCTGTGGCGGTTGTATGTACAGTGCGTCCGCGTCATGATCGTCTTCGCCGCTAAAAAAAAAAACCAAAAAGAAAGAATTTTACACTAATTTTGACGCCAATTGCATAAATTGTTGAAGTTCGTCGATTCCACGAAAGTGTGCGACCAGCTTTTGAACGGGGGCGACGAGGCGCGCTCTGACTGTTCTAGCAGTTCTTGTAGTTCTTGTTATACATTCACTCTAGTTGTTGTTGTTGTTGTTATTGCAGTGCTTGTCGTTGATTACATTTTACGTTGCCCGTCAGCTTCAAATCTCAAGGCCCCATTGGAAGAGCGCATTACTGCTTGAACATTGGGTGGAAATGGACAATAATAATATAAAAAAAAAACAACAACGCTTGGTGTAGTATATTAGCAAATAATACGAAGTTGTATATGTGCATTAGTTGTATACAGTGGATCCTTGAATACGCATAATAGCTTTTACCAAAAATCTTAAAAATGTCAGATTTATAAAAATTTAGCAAGGTATTAAACATCTATAAATTAGAATCGTTATTCTCAACATCACGAGTTCTCAACATAAGTTAATTTATCTTCAAGCTGCAGAAAAATAAATACTCTTGCAGACATTAAAAAAAAAAAACAATTTCGGCCGATTGTCCCTATATAAAATTAACTAACTCTTGGTAGATTCTGATTTTAAAAAGCTTCTGCTTCAATATTATGACCAAATTTTAAAACATTGAAAATATAGTGAATTCCTGACTGGTTTTTTTGATATTTTAAATAACAAATATTTTTTACACGAACAATAATTCCTATAGCAAGTATATTTATTATATATTGATTTGATTCTGCCAACTCTAACGCATGTATTGCCTGCACTAAAAACACATCTACTCGAAGTTTTCTTAAAATAATAAAGATGCATATATCACAGAAACAAACTGCAGTCTATATCTGACCAAAATACAAATATTTTTCATACGACCGATAATTCCTTCCTGCACCAAAAACACATCTATTTAAAACTTCGTAAAACTAATAAAGACCTATAAGCATAGAAACAGACAGCAGTCTATATCTATTAAGATATTTTTGTGGTCGAAGGTGTCTCCATCAATGCGTAAAACAGTTCCAGACAAAAATATAAAGATTTTATACCAACTATTCGTAGATATATCGGCTTATTTTTTGTGTGTGATAGTTTAGCTTGAATCCTAACGCCAGGTTTCTTCGTCAAATGAACCTTGAACCGTCTTATGTGTGCTCGTTGTTATGACGGGTTCCCTCTATTTGGGTGTACGAATTATTGTAAGTAGAACCTTTTCATCTTTACACTCTTCTCCAAATATTTCTGATCCATTTGTGTTACTTAGAGTTTTCTTTTTGCAAAAAAATGGTAAAAAATAGTAAAGAATTATTTGTATAGATAATTACGTATTTCGAGTAATTCAAGGTTCCACTGTATTAGGTACTTACCTGTTTGGCCTACCCCATTTGAATATGGCAATTAGATAAACAATTCCTTGGGGCATTGAGTTGAATTCCGATGGGCTGTAAAATGTAAACTTACGACTGCAAACTCTGCTAGAAATATATTTGTAATTACGTGGGACAAAAGACAAAGATTTAGATCTATATATGTATAAATATGCGTATATAGATGACAGGACTTGGAAAGGCATTAGCATTGTTATTGAACAGAAAGTTTTATTCGATTTACCGCCAGGCTTTGAGATCTTCACTCTCTTTGAGGTATCACTCTCTCTCTCTCTCTCTTTCTCTCATTAAAAGGTTTTTGCTTGACTTTTCATATTGTGTTTGAGAAGGGGCCATGTCCTGGGCCTGCAGTTTGCTGCCGATTTGCCATTTTACACACTTGAGCTGCTGGGCACACTTTAAATTTGAATTTCATTTCTTGCATTCAGCTTTTATAATTATTTTGTATTTGTCTTTTGTATTTTTATAGGTTTTTTTTAAGTTTAGTTTTAGTTGTTGGCCATCGCGCGCCTCGGTCATTTTGGGACAAGTACACACTTTTTGGCCTATTTGCAACGAAAAAACTCAAGTCAATTAAACGGTACATATGCAAAATTATGGTAGTCAATAAATTGGATTTTTTTTGTTTGTTATTATTTAACATTTGGTAGGCAATATACATATGCATATATGTACATTACATTGCACATATATTAAGCAAGCGAAAAAAGGATATGTCGGTGTGAGGGAATCCACGATTGAGTGATCTACAGGTGCTACAAAGTGCGCAATTTTTGTGTCTATTTCTGTACGTCTGTGACGTCACCGTCTGCAGTTCTCATGGCAAAACAGACGTACTTCAAATTATAATTTTTAGATGAAAATGTGAATATAAAAGAATGGAATAACGGACCTGCACAATGCGCAACCTTTTGATCAGTGAACCGTGTGGGGCATTGGATGATGGTATGTTTTACAGATTGTTTTTTCTTTATTTGTAAATAAACATCAGAAAATAACGCTTTCAAATAGAAGAATGGTTTAGTTGCCGCACTCAATACACAGGAGCTCCCACACACACACACACACAGCCACACGCGCGCATGCATGTGAATGTAGTCGTGTTGTCTATGCGTGTGTGTATGCAGCAACAATTTTATATGATTTTCAATAGACATTGGCATATACATTTATTTTTTACACACCTGATATAGTGTCCATCGTTGGGGCTGCGCAGCTGGCCATCTTCACTGCCAGATGTATTGACCATATTGCGTTGCGATTTGTGTGTAGATAATAATTAGATATTGGCTTCACTGACGCTACCGTTGCCCTCTCGTTTATATGTAGCTGCTGATTCACCAGTAATTTTCAGCAACCTGTATGCAACCTTCTTTAACGCTTTATGCCAAAAGTCTTGGCTTGCACTTTTTGTACATCTATATGACCTTCAGTTGGGTTTTCGGTGGAATATTACGTTGTTTTTAATAAAAATAATTACAAACGTTTGCAATAGCACAAACGATTTTCACGCAGTCGGCCAGGGCTGCATAAGACAGGAAAAAATGGCGTCTGCTCGACGTTGCCATATTGTCATATTGAAATTAAACTGCCAGCTGTTGCCACAGCTGACTACGTTTTGTCCCAACAGTTTTCGGAACAATAGTGTGATAAATTCTTAAACAAAATAGTATGTTTTTGTTCCGTATACGGCGTCTGCAGCCAAGTGCCAGCATTTTATATCGATGTGCAAGCACACTGCCCAGCCCCCAATCGGAAGGGGGGGAAGTCAGCGCGACTGTAAAGCGGATTCGTAAGGAGCTGGCCCAGGACAAACAGCAACTGAGCTGGCGTACACCTATTGGTGACCGTCCAGAGGATTGGAATAGTAAATTGAAACTGTTTTCCAACTCGGAGCAAAACTCCGATTTCATAGTCATGATGCAGCGGCCCATTGATCTCAGCCCTAAGAATATGAGAGAATGGTGGAATAAACGCCAGGAGCGTATTGAGCGACACATGCAACAGTTTGTGCCCGAACGCCATAAGATACTTGGTCCCGAGCTGGCCGCCGCTCATTTTGTATTATATCGCGGTGGTGCTGCCAAGTTCTTAAACGACAATCGCTGGCATCGCGCTTCTGAGGACGGCGAGTTTAATCTTCCCAATAAATTCAATGCAAGCTTCAAACTGGAGGCGCTGCGCTGCGACAACATGCAGCTATACTATGAGGGACTGGAGAATCTGCGCTGCTTGGAGCACCTAAAGTTTTTATCCTTTCACAATGTAAAAACCTTTGACGACTGGTGTTTGGATCGCATTACCGGCGCCGATTATCCACACCTAGAGGTTTTGGATATTTCGAACACTGCCATAACAGAAAGAGGACTAGCATGTCTTTATCGCCTGCCCAAGCTAAAGCTCTTAATTATAAACGATCCCAAGCAGTCGCTCGAAATGGAATTAGCCGCTGCTATGCTGGAACTGGCGATGCCGCCGCTTAAAGTCATAGCAGCCGACACCATACATGACGAAACATAACTTTGTAGAAATATACTTTAATAACTTGTCATATCATATCACATTAGTTCGTTTGTGGCTTGGTTTTCATATATTCAGCCTTAATTGCCTCGCGCTCTTCAAGTGGCGGTAGATAGGGTACTATTCCTTTGGCTCGACGATCACTGCGTACCTTGTTCTGCAGAGGATTGGATTGGTTGTAGTTGCACATGATTTGTGTTGTACATCAACATACCCAAAACTCCTTGCAGTTATTGTAGTTAGCAAAATAAACTTCACACTTTTCCCGGTCAAAGTTGTTTTTATTTAGGCATTTGAATGACAGTTCTTGTTCCTGCAAATAAAACGATAATGCTGTGTGTGTTTTTACATATTTCTTGAGCTGCACGCTTACCTTTAGGCAGGGATTGTCACGTTCCGCATTGAGATTACGCGGCATACTGTTAACTATTTTTGTAATTATTATATAAAATATTTAGTTTTCTAGCCGGCAGACTGCCTGGCTGTCAAATTATTCGGAGTAAGTTCAATTGAACGACGCATTGAAATAAATGTGTCGGACTTTTGGAACTTGGTTCCGGAACCGGTCTCATATATTTGATTTATTAATGTTTTTAGCACTTAATTAACTAAATCCTAGCTATTTATATGCATGTGATTTAAGATTTTACAATTTTTTTATATGCAAACTATAAGGGGTTAACATATTAGGTTTTTACTATATAAATATTTAAAAAACTGCATATTCGATTTAACAATTTAGATTAACCTTTCTAACCATCGATTAATAAGTTTTTCATAGTCGTTGCAAAATAGTGTTTCTGTGAGCCGAATAATATCTTCAGGGATGGAAAAGACTTAGAATTGCGTATGCTAGTTAATTTGCTGTGTTCTTTTTGTGTTGGAGTACCCTTATTTTCTGTTCTTGTTATTGTAGTCAGTTGGGGCACATTGGTACAATTTCCAGCTGCTATTCGTAACAGATGTGTTTTTTATATATTTATTTTAATTAAAGTGTGAGATTTTTAAGTATAGCATAGATTTTTGTGCGTCTTGCAACGCAAACACAAGGCCTTATGATGGGCTCCAAAGATAAATCAAAGTTCAAGATATTTCTAAAGAAACCACAAGGTAAGAAAAAAAATTGTATCCGTACAACTCTTGCGAACAATTGCTTAATTTGTCTGTATTTTATTAGGAAATGCCATCGAGCGCACCTTGCGTCAAGAGTTTGAGCTTGAGTTGCGGCCAGAGCAGCCAATTGCCCAGCGCTGTAAAATGCTAAAGGAATTGGGCGACATGCATTTGCAGAACATTACCTTGGATGAAGTAAGAGGGCGGCAGTTCTCTTCGCTACTGCACCATGTACAAACTGGCAAATAATTCGAATTGTATTTCTTTTTCCATGCAGACCTATATAACCAAGCTATGGCATCTGACCAACGATCTCATTGTGCCCAACAAACCGGCTGAAACACGGCAGATAGCATTAAGCTTTTATAAGCGGCTCATTTCTACGCAATATAAAAACTTGACGCTGATGCGTGAAAACTTTTTTCTTGTTATACAAAATCATGAGGCGCACGAGGATCTGCGTCATCTCCTGGAGCTGCTCGACACACTCACAGAAAACGGCAAGGATATTACCAACTTTGAGGAGAAGGTATCCGACGACAGTCGTTATATACCATTAAATGTAATTAAGTAATATTGTAAATTATCTGTAACAGATTGGTAAATTTATGCTGCTCTGGATACCAGCCATCACAGACGCCAATTTGCTGTGCCCATTCTTAGATATGATGATTAATCTTATCAAGTTCAATGCAGCACACTTGGACAAAGACATACTTGTGGGAATTGTGCAGTGAGTGGCATTCATCTTCAACTTAAACTAAAGCGACTGATTGGATTTGTATCTTTGTGTTTTTTTTTTTCAGAAATGCTTGTGACTTGAGCTGCACTGTGGCCAACGATGATATCGGACTGCAATGCTTGACGGTTTTGGAGATGGTCATCGGGTATACAATTTTCCCCAGCGAGCCGCTGCACCAGTGTATTGTTACACTGTGCCGCACCGTCAACAATTCGAAATATTGCCAAGCATCGTTCAAGGTATGTCCACACTATAAGTTACTTATTAAAAATAAGGCTGTTGATATTTAAAGAAGGGCTTTACAGTTCGAACGGGCCATCTGCCTCTAGGTTCACTTTGTGTAGCTTGTTTTCCACAGCCATAAACTCAAAAGGTTGGTTGAAGCAATGCTTTGTCATATATTTTCTAAATGGTTATAAAATAATTAAATATTGCCCATTCTACTAAAAAGTCTAAATTTGATCTCTACCCAAAAATGGCATCAACCAAGATATTTATGCTTTGGGGCTGAGACCTTCTTCAAAAGTGTTTTATTCTTGACCAAAAAATTTTTGGAAAAAGAATACAGTTCAGTTCGGTGTTCGGCTTGATTGGTTTTCGGGCATTTCAGTCCAAGTAAGATATCTAGTTGAAACGCCACGAACTCTTTAAAATAACAAAAATTTTGATGACAACTTGTTGCCGATCACATCATATGCTGGCTTGTTGCTTGGCGTGTTCAACTTCTGCGCCTGCTGGCTGCTGTTGACTTCCTGTGTCGTGGCAGGTGACGCAGTTGTCATAGGTTGTGTGCCTGTGCTTTGCTTGACGCACTGAAAATTTTCATCAATAGTACAATAGCGCGATACCACATCGAAATACTGGCCTTTGGGGCAACTCAATTCGATGGCCCGGCTGCCGATGCACACAAAATACCGACTACAGTCGTGAGTGTGCGGCACCAATCGGCTACCTTCTCTGTCACACTCCTGCAACGTCTCGCCTAACAGAGGCGCAGGCACTTCGGGCTTGCATACACCCCTCGTATCCAGCAGGCAGCTATTCACGCTAACCTCATAATAATAATCCTGCGGACACTGCTGCAGCTCTGCCTGGCCCTCCGTGCAACGATAGTAGCTGCGGCAGTCCTCCAGATTGGCCAGCGTAGAGTGCTCCGGCAGTATGCAGCTGCACTGATGAGATGGCGTTATGGCCACCGGCAGGCAGGCATGTCGCTCCGCATCAAAGTAGTGACCGTACGAGCAGCTGATAAGGTCGAGCTTACCGCGAACGGAGCAACGCTCAAAGCGCGTACAATCGCCCAGCAGACGTTGCACGTTGTTGTCGCCGGTTGCATTGCAGGTTGTGGTGACAGGTTGGGAACATGCGCCTCTTATGCAGCGTTGCTCATAGCTGCTAAAGTGGTAATTCGTTTCACATCTTAATTCCTGATAGCTTCTGTTGTGATCTTTTCTACCCGTGCACACATAGAATCTGTCACAATGTTGCTCATTGGGGAATAGAGTCCACACCAGGGCATTGCGGCAGAGCGATTCGATGGCCAAGAGGTCGCTTCGAGAAGTGGCTTTAATTGTTACCAAATGCAGCAATAGAACTATGATCAGTTGTTGCAGTTCTGAAACGTAGACAAGTTATCGATAAGGCAAATTTCTCGCTCTCTCTCCCTATCACTGATATTTGAATAGTATTTAATCCGAGATCGAAATGCTATGCTATGTGACCCATATGACTTACTGCTCTTCATCTGTGATCTGTGTATTTTTATTTGTATGCCTGGAGAATTGAATGGAATGCCTCGCAGCTTTGATGTCGGCTCTACTTTTATGGTACTAGACGGGCTTTGAATTTATCAGCTCATTTCCGATGGAAACTTGATAACATAAGGGTTACAATTCGTTTCCTTATGCTAATGAAATTCTGATTGTTAGTCAACGTTTTCTTACGCCTTATCTGATCCGTTTGGGTGTTTACAATTTCTTATCTAGCTTCAAACGGGTTGATAATTAATCAGCATAAACAACAATATAAATGAAAGAATTCCCCAATGATTGCCGACTCCCAAAATGTCTATAATCATGCACAAGGCAATGGCATCATACTATCTGGGTCGAAAATATGATTCACTTAAAACATTGCCCGAAAGAAACTATACAGTCTCAATGATGCTCCCATCTAAAATTCAATATTTTTTAAATAAAAGTATCGAATTAAAATGCTCATCGGTTTTGTTCTAAGTTTATATATTATATATACAAATGATATATATCCAATTCATTATGAAACGTAATTTATCGAGATCCAGGTCTATGTGCATTTCAAGCTAGCGAATTGTTTATTACTTTATACTAAGTCAGCAAGCGTTTCAAGCGTAATAGCAGCTAATTAAATCCCTGGGCATGCAGCGCAGGCCCTCGAAACCGCGTTGGGCAATCTTGAAGACGGCCGCCCGAGTGCCATATTCCATGGCATCGCGCAGTGACATTTTGTCCCCTTGCATGGCATAAATGAAAGCGCCCACGAATGTCTCGTGCTCGCCAATTGTATCCAGAATTTCTGGCGGCTTCTGACCGCCCACTTTGAAGTAGGTGTTATCAGGACTCAAACAACTGGCACCCTCTTCGTAGTTGTCGTATATAAGACAAGGTTCGTGCCCCCCATTTTCGCATGTAGCTGGATCTAGTTGTGGCTTATCTTCGGCTATATAAGGGCTCTTCTTGGGCTGCGTTGCCTGCCAGCGCTTGCGCATCACCTGCATGCGTTCACGCACTGCCCACACAGTTTCCCGACCGTTCATATAGCCGTTTGCCTTGCTGAGCCGCTTACGTATAAGCACATAGTTCGCCAAGTCGGCCATCAGAAGGCTAAGTGGTTTCAGATCGGCCAGATCGACGGACAACAAGATGTTCTCGTCCGGACTGCGTGCGTTGTATTCGTGCACAGCACGAATCATGCGAAGCGTTTCCCTGTTGTTCCTCGACTCAAAGTGTATCCAGGAGTATTTACGATAGTCAACGGCGCCCACAAACTGCTGATAGGTGAGCTCATGGTCTCGGTTTGAGTACTCGACAATGGTGCGCGTCTGCTTGCCGCGCACAACGACGATTGAGCGATGCGGCGGCTGCCTGGCCGAACGCGGGCAATTGGAAATGTCAATGCCCATGGACTGAAAACTGGTCGTAATGCTCTCGAAAGCGGGCGCGCTACTCAAAAGGCCAAGGAACTCACAGTCGGTGCCCAGACGCCTCAAAACGCAACATGTATTGGCAGCATAGCCGCCAGGTCGCCAGAAACCCTCAGTGGTGCGCTCTTTGCTGCCGGGAACGGGATGTTCATTGCATATAGTGATAACATCCAATGCACAGCGGCCTACCACAAGGACACGCCGCGGCGGTGGTGGAGGAGGTGGTGGCGGCTCTCGCGGCAGATATCGCACCTTCTTTACCGTTATAAACTCCTTGACAATCTGTTTCTTCATGATTTTTTAGATTTTATTATTGAATTTCCAAGCTGTGCCAAATAATATGTGACTTACAAAAATAACTTGATCAACTGACATATTCCAAATTTTTTTACATAAGACATAAGAAGACACAGCTATGCCAAAAGCTAGCTTTAATTCAATGGATGCTCCAGTAGGACCCATATAGTAAAGTAGTCCAACAAAGTTATCCATACAAAACAGGTCTAATGACCGCCCGATATCGCCTAGTCGAGATCCCTAATGACCTTATCTGTATATCAATAATTTATAGCGTTTATTATCATAATATTATTTAGATCATGAAAAATCTGTTGGGCACCCAGCTTGGCTATGGATCGATGAAAATGATGTGCAACATACTCAACGATAAGGGTCAATATGAGGATGCACAACTGTTGCGTGGAGCGGTCTTTCATCTCAACATGAACATCTTTGGATCGACTATCATTTTTCAGGTATCCCCGATGATATATGCAACAAATGTGCTAATGGGCTTCCGGAATGTGAGTAAAAGAATCCATTAACTCTGATCTAATAGTTTTAATAAAGTATTAAATTATTCTAGGCATTGGATAGCCACGAGGTGATTGTGACCTATGAGGTAATTCTCAGTGTGCGCATGGTGATTAGCAAATACAAGCTGTCTGAGATCATATGGGATCTGATATGTGATATTATGTCGGCGATTGTGGACAACATTGAGGAATATGGTGCGTATTGTGCTGACCTTTGTGCTCACTACTTAATGAATCTAATCTTGCAGAGCGTTTGGGTGTTAACAAGGATCGCCTGTGTCATTTACAAATCAATTTCCACGAAAATATTGACTGCATTGAGAAGTTACTCCAAGATGATCGCGCACAAATACTTTGTAATGTGGATCGTATTTATGATCTCATCGAGCGGGTCGCTGATCGCCGCTCGGAGGCCTCTGTGCTGGCCCTGATCGACTATCGAACCCGTCGCTTGACTGCCACGCGACCGGAATGGCTTTTGGGCTTGACCCAGTTCGTGCATCGCTATTATCGCATGGCCAATGTGAATGTGCGCATCAAAACCATCGATTCGCTGGTGCAGATCATGAACCAGAATCGTTACAGCTATGAGGAAGAGATACTGGATCGCGTGGTTGTGCCACAGCTGGCGCAAATCCATCAAGAGCCCAGCGTGCTGGTGCGCATGACGGTGGCTCGGGCGCTCTCTAACTTTGCAGCACATTGCGATTCGAAACGTTGCCTGGAGCTGTTAGACATATTAGAGGCGCTCATCAATCGACCGTTTGAGCAGATGCGTCAAGTTGCGACAGAGGCCTACACATCTGAGGCGGGCAACAGCATTATTATAAAGACTGAGTCAGAGATTGGCGATATTATAGCGGCCATCGATGGGCTTGTTGAGGTGTTTGAAATTAAGCTACATCGCCTGCCCGCCGCTCATGCCATTAAGATATTCAACATTTTAACGGATCATCTGGAGCTGCACTACGACCGGCCAAAGGTCTTTGAGCAGGCAAGCATTGTTCGCCTTAAGGTGAGTGTAATGATATTACTTACACTCTCTCTATATCTCTAACCCCGTATAATTACATTAAAGATATTCAACTGGATGCTCAAGGCACGTGCCAATGCCTCCTATCACATTGGCTATCCTGACAGCAGCACCGAAACCCTAAAGTTTAGCCACTATTTGGGCATCGACTCGCCATTGCCACCGCAAACGCAAACCACAACAATTTCGATACGACACGCCTGTAATCTGATTGTGCGCTGTCTGGAGCATGACTCTGATTACCAAGTTTTTCAGCTGGTCATCAAGGAGCTACCCAAAGTGCTCCAAAACAAAGCACTTATACAGGGCAACGATATTGAGAAGCTGGCCAGTACATTATTTAAAGTCAATGTGGGCGGAAACAAAGATAGGTTTAATCGACCCACCGATGAGTTCCATAGTCTTGTGATGCCCGCAATCGCATCCCTGGTCATTTATCACGAGTGCTTGCAGCCGCATCAGCACTTAAGCATCATTACGGCCCTCAACTCCCGCATACCCGGCATGGTCAGTGTCTGCATCAATACAATGACTATTCTGATATTGGAAACGCCCGAAGCCGTTATGCGCAAGCTGCCAGACGTTCTACTTGAAATCAGCAAGGTGTCCGGTACGAACGCGGTGGCCATACCAGTTTTGGAGTTTTTATCCCGTGAGTGTATCTAATTTGGCTACTCCTTAAGAAGAGGATATTTCGTCAAACCAGCTGGCAAATTTACCAGACCTAAAACAAAACTTTAACGAAATACGGCCCGATAAAACGGGTCTGTCTTTCGTAACAAACGATTTTAGACATGTTTTTCTCTTGTTCATCCCAACATCCTCAAACGAGTTAGTTTCCTTTTGCTACCCTTTTTTTAACCTATTTGTTTTCTCTTTGATCGACAGTTTTGATCCATCTATCGAACAATCTGTTTACCAACTTTACCCCCGTGCAGAACATGTATGTGTTTGCCATATCGCTGCCATACACAAAGCCGCACAGATACGATCAGTACACCGTATCACTGGCTCATCATGTGATAGCGGGCTGGTTTCTCAAGTGCAAGCTCGAGCTACGCAAGAACGTTGTGAGCTACATTAACTCGGTGAGTGAATGCCTTGACACAAAACCATTTGGCACAAATAATTGACCAGCTAATTGCTTGCAGTCCATGCAGTCGAATGCACAGATGCTCAAGGATGATAAAAAAAACGTGAATGAAGATTCCAGCAATCGTAAGCGTAGTACCAGTCTAACTGAGCGAGGCAGTCGGAATAGCGCGACAACCCGCAGCGAATCCGAGATGCGTCTGCTGATGAACGACGCGCTACGCAATTTTCATGCCGAGTTGGCTGAGACATGCTTTGATTTTCTGGCACGTCACACATTCTCGCCGTGCCCCTCCTTACCTAAGCGGTGAGTATGAAATTTTGTGGTCTAAGCTTATTATTATTTATGAATAATTTGCTTGCAGCCTGCCGGCCATTGAGTATCTGCTGAAGGATGGTGTCTCGCAGACGTGGTTGGTGGGCCACAATTTGATCACAATTACCACATCTGGCTGCCCATCGGGACCTACGCGGAACGGCCTCTGCGAACGCTGTGCGCAATTAGGCAAAGCACCCAGCATCAGTCTAAACTCAAAGAGTCTTAGCGATGCATCGCAGCAGCCGCCCTTGTCGCCGGAGCGGGAACGCCGCTACACCAAAATGAGTTTGCAGCACAGCAGCGGCAACGAGAGCGCCGGCAGCACAGATCATACAACGTCCTCATCTACATCGAACTCGGCAGCCACCGCGCATCCGCATCGGCAAATCTCAAACAGTTCAACGGTCTCGCTGGACGCATATTCGCGACGCGGCTCGAATCCGGAGGCTTCGGGTGCCAGTAACCTAGTCGAGGGCGCACACACAGGCAGCAACACATCCCTATTGGGCAATTCCCTTTCCCTGTCAACGGCCAGCGTGGGTCCGTCGCCGCAGTCGGCTTCAGTTGTGCAGCAGCCAGTTTGTGTGCGTGCGTGCACAGGCTGGGCCGAGGTCTATATAAGACGTCCAACGGGCAACATTTCATGGATAACGCGC